TGTCACCTGGGTTTTGTTCTTGCATATTAGTAGGATTTATAATTTGCACTTTGAATTATTAATTTTTACCTATACATTACAGAATACACTAAATGCAAAATAAAAAGAAAGGAAAATCGCACAATAGCAATAGGCCTGAAAACTCTGTTTTTTCAATCTAGAAGCCTCAAATCTGTCTGTTCCTGATCACATGCTCTTCACAGACCAATAAGAAGGCGTGAATTTTGATCAAGAAAATGAAAGACAAAAGTACGGAAGAAGATAATAAAATCTACTATTAAAAATATCGGTGAGCCAATTTTACATATATTCTTTTTTCCAGCTCTAGGCTTAACTATAATCCTAATGATAAAGTAATCTTTTAATAGTTGTCGGTTATCATGTGATCAGGAAGATTAAAAGCTATCTAATACCACTCAAATAATTTTTAATAGATAGATCATCATCCAAGAACGATAGCGTACTAACTTTACATGGAATTATGATGTTATTCCCTACTTAAACGTTAATAACAAAAAAGATAATATTACATGTAATAGATACGAAACATGTATAAAAGTGCGCGAGATTTCTCTCTTACCTTCATAATGGATGAAATAAATCCTTAACAAAAGAAAACCAATTTTCTTAATATGTAAATAAACTATACTGTTTAAAATGCCCAATTTTTTTTTAGTGCTAATTACTGTTATTGGAATTATCATGACTTGTTAATTTTAAATAAATGCACTTACCAATTAACTCTTCCTATAGAATAATTAACTAAACCAGCTATGAAAATATGCGGTAATTCCGAAAAGTTACCACGATCTCATAATTTTTTCGAAGAGATTCTGAAGCGCGTTTACGTTTATGTAATCAAATAAAAAGTTAAAGAAACAGCAAAGGAGTGCAGTTTAAAATGGCGAACGTTATCAAATGAAGACAAGCATATTTTCAAAATATTAGAGATAGCTTGCGAGAATCATAAAAATTTATACTAATTATAAGTATAAACCAAGAAATGTAAAAACTTCAATGGGTTTTTCGCGAGCATAAAATACTTCTTTACCCATGTCTAGCTCAAAAGGTAATAATTCACCTCCTCATGAAATTGTGATGTCATCCCCTTCGAATGATAAAACAACGTCAACTGTTATCGCCAACTTCAACAACTATTGATAATATTCATCCTCCTACGATGCCGGAAGTTTGGTCGACGGCACGTTTAATTAATAACTCCAATGAATCAACTTCCTTTTTTTTTGGGAACGACGATAATACTTTATTAAACACATTCGGCGAATCTTTTATCAATGCTTCGCGTCAGACCAATTTAGCACTAATAAACCAACAACATTTATTCCAAGCTGTGGTAATAAACAAGTAGATTCGAGTAAATCTTTTACATATGGTTATAAAATTTTTTTAATTTTTTTGACTACCGCTGCATATGATTAAAAACTTGCAATTGAATTTAACAAAAATTTTTATTTATACAATAACATATATTCATAAAGCATTTATATTGTTAACTATATAATTAATATTAAACAATATTTTCTTTTATGAACACAAGTAATTTATTTACTAAATAACGACAGCGAATTTAAATTTTCTTCCTTAATTAACATTTTAAAATTAATAATAATGGTTAATAAATGGATATAAATCCATATGACAAATTCAACTCTTCGATCTTAAGATATGATCGTGTAGAAAACAACAACTTTAATAACATTTTTCAAAAACGATAACACTCTTAGTGAAACCAAAATATTATACTTAACTTTATAAATGCTTAAACTTTATAATATAACAGAAACAAAAACCTTATATTAATATTGATCATGAAGCAAAATAATTGTTAATCCGGTTAAGCTGGAGCTGAGTCTAATCTCGATCCATTACTATTAAGTATTCGTTTTTGGCTGAATTTTGGTTACCATACAGTAATACAGTCCTGGGCAAGTTGGTTTTAGTGAAATTTATTTTCTATTTAATTCTAATTCCAGTGCCGATATCTACGGATATCGTTTTACGTGTGCGACTTAAGGTGAAGAAGGTGAGTGACTAAGAGATTTTGGGCGTGGTAAGTTAAAGTAGGAAGAGAGGGAAGTTGTGTCTTTATATTCCATTAACTGGCTAATTCTAATCGATTCTTTATCTAACCAAAAGCCATAAACTCAATCTATCGATCAATCCTTTTCCAGATCAAGGACCTAACCAATACGTTATCTTTTCTGGCACAAAGAACCTAACCAATACGATATGATTACAATTACGATTGTAAAAATTACGAGGTACAAATATTTTATTTTTGGAGAAGAATTGTACGCAAATTACTTATTTGAAAGAAACCTTTTTATAATTTTATTTTTTTGTTATTCTCTATCTCCTTGTTAACGACTCAAGGTCATTCTCTTTATATACATTTTCATCAACTTAAGAAACGCTAATTACTCAATATATTGTATTATCGATATTTCTTTTCCAAAGATATAACAAAAGAATAAAACAACATAAAATAAATAAAAAAAATAGTATAACAAAGGAAAAAGTTGTGTTGAAATATTCGATAAAATTTTACACAAATTATATTAAAAAAATATTCTAGTTAACGCGTTCATTTGTTCTGAACAATGGGCAATCGATTACGCGATCTATTGTGCGGATAAAAAATATGCTACAAGACATGCTGAAATTATGAAATTGATTGTCTTGGGAAAGACTGCAATTATGTATTTTGCAGAAAAACGTGCTACAAAACATGCTGAAGACTACTGTAGAACTTGCGTTGGATGTTGAACTTGCCGTAAATTTTGGGATTAATGAAATTATCGAAGTAAAGGTAGCAACACTGTATGCTAGAGCAGGCTGAATCTCTTAAAAAATATACTTAAGAAATGTTTCATTTATGCTCATTTATAAACTCTAATTTAATTTGCTTGAATAACGAAAAGACAACACAAACACCAATGTTTGCATCATTTAATTTCTTCATTATCCCTATGCTATTCATGAGTACTCGGAATTATGGGTTTTTTTAAGAGGTCACTTTATAAGATGGCTTTAGTAATTCGTATGAGTTAACTTTGTGTGTATAATGCTTATTGTTATCCATTGATATTTTTATTAATAAATTCCGCACTATAATGACCAGATGTGCAAATTACATGTACATGTACATGAGTTTTATTGACGTTTCCATATCGATATTGATATACATCTACATTTACATTTACATGAACGTAGAAATCATAAAAAGCGATAAATAACATGATTAACATGAAAGTACAATGACTATGAATAATTTATTTATAAATATCATTTGTTTCCTGTATGAAAATTATATAAACATAAAAATAATATTACAGAGACCTAGCAGAATATTGTGGACACTTTTAATTTTAAATATCAAGCTAAATAAGCAAAATATTAAAATAAAAATAAAAATTTAAAATTCTTGAAAAGTTTAGCTTTCAAACAAAAAAGAAGAAATTTTATACAGTAGTTTTTGAGAAAATTTGAATTTAAAAAATTTATAATTTTTTCATCAATACAAAAATCATAAGGAAAATATTTCAACGTTATGCAGGGATCGAAATTGCAGATATTTATGATTATCATTATACGTATGTTCTGTATGCGTTTGTTATTGAGTACAAATGCCTTAATTGGTGATGATTTATGAGCTTAACCATATGCATAATTGTGTATGGGCATTTACGATATCGGTTAGTAACTATGCGCATAGGCACATCTCTAAACACAACAGTGAAAGTATATAGACGGAATAATTTAGAATCTCTAAGAGTTTGAAAGGGTGCCTATGATAAATTTTACAAAAACTACTATCCAGAATATTAGAAGGAATGTGTTTGAAATAAATTTTGGATAATTTCTGTTTGATAGTTGAAATCAAAGGAATTACGAACAGTTTTGCTATAGAATCACTAGTTCTTTCACCATGAAATAAAAACCATTTTACACAAAATTTGAGAGTAGTAGTAAAAGTATATTAGCAAGTAAAAGAATTATCACAAGTAAGCATCTCAATTTTATTCATATCTTCTGTTTCCCTTTCTGTTCTCTCTTTTTTTTTAATAATTTTATTTGTTTTGTATGAATTACGTTCTAAATATTCGAAAGACATTTCTTTAGAGACGAGGTGTTTCAGGCCACATAATTACTGTGTTCGTTTGTCTTTCAATTATAATTAAAGATGTTAATAAATACTAAAAGAATCATAATAGAAATTAAAGAGAAAAAATGAATTCAAAAAACATCAAGTGTTAGATATATTATAAGGGATCCCGAAGTGTTAAACGTTAAATTATTGCGATAATGATCACGAAATTTAAATATCATTATCAATATTACGATGATAATCGTACGAAGTGGTGGTGTTAAATGTTAGTTATTACGAAAGTAACAACGATTTTCATTTTACGGAAATTACGTATAAATTAAAGAATTACGAAATTTAATGTTACTATAGTAACAAGATGTGCAAAGGGGTTGATCCCAATTGATCCGGTTTTACGGAAATGCGGGTTCATGGTACTGAAAAAAGAAGAAGAATACCTAACACATTAAACTAATACTAACAGACAGAATAAATTATGGATCAGAAATGAATTACATGACGAGAAAATGTAAATTGAAAGCAGAGCAAAAATATATGGCAAAAGAATATAATGAATATGAGACAGAACGAAATACATGACGAAAGAATAATAAAACGATGAAGCGAACACGAATTAATGAATTTACGAATAATTAATTTACAGCTGTCGAATAAAAGCTATAATGATTTGTCTATCTTAGTATCGTATGAGGATTTGAAATCTTATATGTTATCGTTATCGTAATAAAAATGATCATATCGATATATTAAGTCTTCAATCTCAATATTTAATAATCACAACTTGGAGTAAATGGTTGTAATAAGGGTGAAGATATCAACAGTGATGTTGGTTTATAAGCGATAAATTGGTTTGACGGCGAAGCATTGTTAATCAGTTATAATGATCACTAATAAAAGATTCGTCGAATGAATTAATATCGTCGTCGTTCCCAAATAGAAAAGGAAATTGATCCAATGAATTAAACGTATCATCGATCGAAATTCCAGCGTCGACATTGATCGTAGAAGAATGCGGTTTGTCAATGGTCTTTGAAGTGGTGATGACAGTTGATGTCCGATTATTAATATCATCGTACTCAGCTAAAAAAGGAAGTTGTTTCAATGACATTATTTGATTAAACGTGTCGTCTATCGGATTTCCGGCATCGGTATTGATCGAAGGATCAATGTTCGTTGAAGTGGTGATGACAGTTGATGCCCGATTATTAATATCATCGTTCCAAAATAAAAAAGGAAGTTGATCCAATGGATTTATTTCATTAAACGTGTCGTCCATCGGATTTCCCTCATCAGTAATGAGCGTAGGCGGAGGCGTATTATCAATAGTCGTTGAAGTGGTGATACTAGTGGACGATGTTTTATCATTTGAAGAGGACGACCTCACAATTTGTGTAATGTCGTGAAGAGGTGAATTATTACTTCTTGAGCTGGACATGGGTAAAGAAGTAAACACATATTTCTTTTGTTCGCGAAAAAGCCATTTCTTAATACTTGAATCTTTTACATTTCTTGGCTTATACTTATAATTAGGATATAAGTTCTTATGGTTCTCGCAAGCTATCTTCTCTAATATTTTAAAGAAATATTTTTCTTCGCTTGATAACGTTTGCCACTTTAAACTGCACTTCTTTGCTGTATCTTTAACTTTTTGTTTAATGTGCTGATTAAATAAACGTAAACACGCTTCATAATCTCTTCGAAAAATTATCCAGCTGTTTTGTGGTCGTGGTGATTTTTCGGAATCATCATATTTTTTCATAGCTGGTTTGGTTAATTCTTCTATAGAAAGAGTTAATTGGTAAGGACATTTATTTAAAATTAACAAATCATTATAGTTCAAATGGCCGTAATTAGCACTAACAAAAGAATTGGGCATTTTAAATAGTACAGTTAATTTATAGATTAAGTATATGGTTTTATTCAGTATGAGGGTAATGGAGGAAAAGTCTCGCGCGCTTTATATGTCTATAAATTATGCCCCGGTGTCAATGATCTACATTATAATTACTAATTTAAATTTTTCATAACTTGATTTTTCCCCCACCCCCCACAAAAAACCTGAGTCAATGATCTACATTATAATATAATTTTTAATTTCTACCTTTTTTATAGTTACCCACAAAAAAAAAGATTTTCGCATAAATAAATACCCACAAAAAACCTGAGTCAATGATCTACATTATTATCCAAACTGCCAATGATCTACATTATAATTACCATTAAAAAAAATGATTTTGCGCCAAATACCTATTAAGTTTTCTTGTCATTCTAGATTGGTGCTGAAAGTAATTTAGATATTTGTACAACATTTTTGGACTGGTCCTTGATTATAATGTATTTTTGTAATTGATCTACACTTATTATTATTATAAAAAGAAAAAAAGTTCAGGAATACAAAAGAGTAGACTAATCAAATCGTAAGATCAATGTGTAACAGAAAAATTTAAAACAAATGTAAACAAACATAAAAAACTGAAAATAGCTTGTATCTCGAAATTTCAACTATGAAACTACTTTCTGTGCTCTAACAAAATAATATTTAGCTCTGACTCTAATCCCCTATAATTTCGAAAAAATTCCGTTTTATTCCGAAATTGAATTTTATTAACTATATAAAATTTAATCTTATTATATTACAAATTGTAAGTGCATGAAGAGATTCTTTTGTCTATTATCAACCAAAATTTCGTTATCGCATTAAAACTACGTTCTATATTAAATGATGATAAAATTAGTAACCAAATATATTTGATAGCTATTTCACTAAGAAAGGGTAGTTGATATGAAATCTTGTTTCAAATCATCTAAATTATCAAATTCGATTTCATTTAAATTAATATTATAATAAATTGTCCATTCTT